GATGCTGTGGTGGTACTGCTTGTTGATGTCGTCGTCGTCGTCGTCGTTGTTGGTGTTGTTGTTGCTGTTGTTGTTGTTGTTGTTGTTGTGGTTGTTGTCGTTGTCGTTGTCGTTTTCGTTGTTGTTGTTGTGGTTGTGGTTGGTTGTTGGTTGTTGGTTGTTGGTTGTTGTTGGTGTTGGTGTTGGTGTTATTGTTATTGTTATTGTTATTGTTATTGTTATTGTTATTGTTATTGTTATTGTTGTTGTTGCTGTTGTTGGTGGTGTTGGTGTTGGTGTTGGTTTTGGTGTTGGTGTTGGTGTTGGTGTTGGTGTTGGTGTTGGTGTTGGTGATGTTGTTGGTGTTGGTGTTGGTGTTGGTGTTGTTGTTGTGGTGGTTGTGGTTGTGGTTATTGCTGTTGCTGTTGCTGTTGCTGTTGCTGTTGCTGTTGCTGTTGCTGTTGCTGTTGCTGTTGCTGTTGTGGTTGTGGTTGGTGGTTGGTGGTTGGTGGTTGGTGGTTGGTGGTTGGTGGTTGGTGGTTGGTGGTTGGTGGTGGGTGGTGGGTGGTGGGTGGTGGGTGGTGGGTGGTGGTGGTGGTGTTGGTCGTTTTGGTGGTGTTGTTGTTGGTGTTGTTGTTGTTGTTGTTGTTGTTGGGGGTGGTGGTTCGTTGCTGGTGCTGCTGATCAGATTCTAGTGCTGGCTGCAACTTCGCAGCCGGGGCCCAGAGACTTCGGACGCCAAGTGTCCTTCGAAGTGGTAGTTCCCTGAAGAACAGAGAGGCATAGACTGCTTCATGGTATGTAAATAATATGGGATACGAATATAGACATGTGTATATAGATTGATATACACAACATGTAGCACATAATATACACTGTTGATTTTGATTCTCTTGCAAGCACCTCTGGCTTTGCGGGTCATGGGGCATAATGAAGGTAAGCACTTCCCATATGAGGAAACGAGCGCACGTCAGAGGCCTTAAGTTTCAACGAGCAGCCGGTTTTCTTGCGCAATGCTCACAGACTTCCTGCAAAAAGCACAGGCACACGTGAGAGTTGCAAATATGGCGCGGAGTCGCACAAAAGCCTCTGTACCCTGAAACATAGATCGCCGAGGTACTTGAGCGCTTTCGTCTTGCCCCCACCCTTGATCGTGATCCTCGCCCTTGTCATCCTGATCTTCGGAGGCCGACTCAAAGTGTCCTCGGAAAAGTCAAGTCAGGCTCTGAAGGGACCTATGTCCCATGCGTACGAAACCCGCACGTAAACCACAGTATTTATCCAAGAGTTCCAAGCACCACAGCACGGAACCAAAGCCCCAACTCACTTTCGGACGTTTCAACATCTTAACATCGAAACCTTAGCCCGGAGGCAGAAAAGAAGCGTTTCGCAGGCCCTGCACCATCGCTGAGCTCCAAAGGCTTTGCGCTTGGCTTGGGCTTGAGTGCCTTGGCAAGGGCTCTTCGTCGAGTTTTCGGGTTTTGGGCTTCATGGTTTGGTAGACAACAGGGATCTTTCCGGGTGAGGATTTTCGACAGTAACATTCACAGCGGGGTTTCGGGTTTAGGGAAGTTTTAGGGTTTCTGGTTCAGGTCCTAGGAATGCTGCCCGGTTCCCTTGCATGGTTTTCACTTTGCGAAATGATTGCCATTGTTAATAAAGTTTAGCGTTTAGGGTTAGTCGCAGCAGCATTCCCAAGATATTAGAAAGGGTTGAGACGGTTTGCCTTCGAAAGCTCCTGAGCACGTCGGCGCTTTGCTTACTTAGCCAACGGGAGAACTAGATTTGGAGTTTCAGGGCTTGGGGTTGAGGGACTCATATTCTTTGGAGTCTTTAGGCTCTAGCGAAAGATTGGGATGGGAGCTTTCAGCAGCTTGGATTCTGGAAGAGGGATGGTTGCCGTGATCATCAACCAAGACCCCCGATCGAGCACTGGTAGTTGAACTGCAGACCGCCTTCGGGCGATCCCAAGCCCTCAACTCGCACATCGATGCCGCAAATCGCCCTTTCGAGTCCTAGTCCTAAGCTGTGAACCTCCGTCTCCGTTGCACCAGAAGCCGGAGGGGGGCCGGGTCCAAAGGCGCACTGAAGCAGCTCCTCGCTGGTCGGGCCCAGCCGTCGCTGGTCACCTGCGACGGGCTCAACCTGGAAAAGGCAGGGCAAAAGTTGTCTGCTCAGGCGTGACAGGAAGTCAACACCCGGGAACGAAGCGAAACTCAGACCCCGGCTAGCACTGTTGAACTTGAACTCAAACCATGTCATTCAGTGAAGCTCACCGAAAGAAACAACAGTAGAGTCTTTGCTCAGAACGACTGAATGACCCCAGTGCTTGCCAGGGAGAAGCAACAATTGCATGGCGGACGACGTCGGCCGTGCCCGCAGAAGAGGCTGTCCAAGCAGTCACTACAGAGCTCGGGCCCGAACGGCCCTGCTTTGCTTAGCGCTTGCCTTTGCCGTATTTCCGACTTGAATCATGACACAAGATGCGATAAGGAAGCAGCAGGTGGAGGGAAAGGTTTCCTGAACCTGCAAGGCGGAGAACATGCCGGAAACACAAGCCCAGACGTGATACTATCGCTCCGTGCCCCGAAGCTCAGAATCCCGAACATGATTAAAACTAAGAAGCGGCTCCTTTTAAGCTTATATAAGCCTCAAGCGCTCCGGCTTCGGGAGCTGCCAGTTTTGGAAGCAGTTGTTTTGGGGTTTCTTAATTAACAGGAAGTACTCTAGCTATGAACTAGGGCGCTACCATAGGGTGAGCACCCTAATCTTTTCGTGTCCATTTCAGGTTACCAAAGGCTGAAACTTCCGCATACTTCCAACCCTATGCCTACACTACACCTTGCACCAAACACTACCTTGGACTCCAAGCAACGACGAGTCGCAGCGGAAGGTGGCGCAGCAAGTGAGGGATGCAGCAGCAGCGGACCAGGACCCGTCCTCGGCTTCGTTGGGCGGGCTCCGTCTGTAGAGTAGAGGTAGAACCAAGTACTGACTTAGTAATTGCGCAATGGGAAAGTTTCAAGAGTAATCATGATACGAATGTTAATGCTATGGAAATAGCGAATGGGATCGAGGATGACCGCGATTTGTGTGTTGACGGCATCGGGCCTCGGAATGATGGTTCATGAACTTCGGTGCTTGCCTGTGATGCAAGTGGATGCGGTATTGTTCATAGCTGTCATAGCTTGTGTTATCAAGATACCCCCGACATCCCCGAACAATGGTGGGTGGTTCTGAATGCCTACCTGAGTGCTTTAGTTTTCAAGTGCTTCATCATCGATGGTACATACCCCGCAGCCGGCCCTGATCCCAGCGGAAAAGAACTCCAAAACTCGCAAGTGAAGGATGGCGAAAGCCTGAAGAAGCTGGGAAGGAAGTTGCGCATCAAAGCCGTTGCCTTGAGCATGGGGCTCAGTAGCAAGTCCGAGTGCTATGAAGTTTCGGAACCTTCTAACTGTTCGTGTTTTGGATCTTATGGGAAACTATTCTGGAAGTGCAGCCTTTAATTGTTTGGGATATTGCGAGAGCTAGCGGTGTGGGATTCAGCGCATTAGGCTTGAGGGTTTGGGGTTTGGAGCTGGCTAGCAAAGAGCTTGCTGCAGAAGCTTCTTTACGAGGGGAGGCAGATAACCGCAGAATACCGCAGAGCTCAGGGGAAGACCATTCTAATACATCCGGTTGCTTCTGAAGGATGTTCTCTCGCGCGGCACTAGAGAGCCCTGAGCCCGGAACAGCCCGCTGCGTCAGTAGAAGTTGAAGCTCTGCCATCTCACGACTTATGGACAGTTCCCACCCACACCCTGAAGCCTGTACCCTGCATTGCGGGCTTCGTCCTAGCTAGGTGGGGGGCAAACCACCATGATGCCGCCCTCAACACTGCGAGGTCCGATAAAGTCCTCTACTGAGGTGTGGTGGCAGCTCTTCTCATCCTTTTGATGTGCAGGTGGTGGAGCTGAGAGGTTTGTGAATGATGTTCGTTTCTGTCGCGCTTCAAGAGTTTCTTGCTTCAGAGAAAGCAGTCGTATGAGTGCTCGATGGCAGACTGCCATCCAGGGTTTTTTCCTTCTGGAGCTTCCAGTCCAGACCACTTCGGACCTGTATGACTTTCGCTTGATGCCTCTACGGTCTGCTGTGCGAGAGTACTGTAAGCCTGCATTCCGATGGCCACACACATGAGGCTCGCAGATATGTAAAGGTGATAGTCGCAACATGTGGAATGGCTTTGCCAACAAAGGAGACTAAGGAGTGCCTGAGACTTGTTTTATGGCCCCGCATCAGCCAACCAAGCATTCATGCTTCAGGTGGCCAAGTTTGGTGGAGTGGGTCGAGCACAATGCCCCTACCTCAGGCCACCGTGGCTCGGCTGAAACGCAGACTGTTAGGGTTCATGGCAGTGAGATGTGGCATGATGCAATACGGTATGATACAATCTGACAAGAGACGTGCTGTACACAACTACACACCACTACATATATTTACATGTACATCCGTGTGCACATATGCTCATGTACGGCTTGTTACAGGCAAATGCAGACTAGAAGTTGCCACCGGTGTGCAAACGACATGCGTTGCCTCTTCAGTCCACCATGTGGCACACGTGCCAAAGCGAGCATGTCCCGTTAAACGCCTAAAGTCTAAAACTCTCGAACCCGAAACGCTCAAGTCCCGACCCCAAACCACCTGATGCATCTTGACTTGCAGCCGAAGAACAGAAGCCAAGGCTTGCTGATCGTGGGAATGTCTTCTGGCACCTTGGTCTGCAGCCAGACGCTTCGAAATTCTTCGAACGAATGATTGCTCTAGCCTTGAAAGCCTACGCTGCGCAAACTGACGCTCTTTGGCCCGAACTTCGGATCCGCCCAGATTTATGAAGGCGCCCGGGGGCGATCTGCATTGCTAAAGTCTTGGATGTTCACGGTCAAGGGCTGCCAAGGACAATTGTGCAAGCACGTGGCGAGGCATTGCCCTGCGGCTGATGAACTTCGAAGTTCTTCAGCAGGGGGCACGTCGGGAGCCTCGCCACCAATTTGTGCCAGCAAGCTGTGTGGTACATGGTGACTTAGGGGTTTAAGGCTAAGGCCAAGGGGTGTTCAGAATTCTTTGTGGCTTGGGTCCGAGCATTGAAGAGCTCAGTTGCGGCACTGCTGCTGTGGTAGGCTTGTTTGCTCGGTTCTGTTCTTTGTTGTCGCGGTCCTGTGCCGGATATTTGCTTGCTACTCAACAGTGCGGAAAATCGCAGCATGCTTGAACACGGTTCCGTCCTATTGTACCATACAAGATGTAGCAAGTTTTTATGGATGCTATGAGAACATGCTGCTGACAGAGCCGACGCTTGAATGTAGCAGCACGGGCTTTGCCCGGATATGAGAGCGGAGGAGATACAGAGGGCGGCCGAGAGAGAATGTCCTGATTCCAGCCAGTCCTTCGATAAAACTGCAATGCACACATGGAAGCTGGACTTAATGCTTGCCGCCTCCCTTGATGGCGCAATGCACATCCGCTGATGACAAGAAATTAACTCCATTATGTATATTTGCTTGTGTGTGCATGTTTGTGTCTGTGTCGTCTGTCTCTATGTGTGAGGGCGTGTGCGGGCGGGCCCGGGCTCTTGTGCGCATGCACGAGTGTGTCGTTGTACATTTTCACGAGCGGGCCCATCTTCGTTACTCTGGCTTGAGCGTGCATTGCCTGCCTTGCCCGGGTGTGAGAGTCGAAATGGTCCGTATTCAATAGATTTCAGTAGGACGCCGGGAGTGGAGGCCATTCATCAATAAATAATGTTTGGCAGCTAAGCCTGGGCTGTATATCATCAGATACTACAGAGCTGAATTTCACGGCACCCTAAGGTGCTGCCGGCTCGTCTGGCAGGCGCCAGTGGAGGGCCTGGCAAGGCTGCCGGAGTCCCAGCCTTTGCAATCAGTGTTGCCGCTACTACTGCCGCTGCTCCTTTTTCTGCTGCTACTACTGCTACTTCTACTAGGACGGCTCCTACTACTACTGCTACTATCACT